TTCCTTTTTATTTCATTTTATCTCTTTTTCCTTTTTATTTCTGATTTGTTTTTAATACACTGACTATTACAAATCAATAGCCTGAAACCTTTAAAATCTACAACATTTTAAAGTTATGCTGACAAAAGAAACCTATAACAAAAAAAGAACAACTAGACTAAGAGGAAAAATTAAAGAAAGTGCCAAGGATGATACAATCACATATAAAAATAGAGCTGTTTTGAAAACTGTTATTAACGAAGATCACTGATCACCTCCCATCCAGTATAATTGATTTGGAAACAAAAAAATATCTGATTTTCAATCAGGTTTAACTCACTCATGCGATAGCTTCAGGTCAATCATTTGTAATATACCTTAGAATCAAGGAGGTTGTAGACTCGGTCGAGAACCTCTCGTGGCGTAGATTTTTGTTTAATCTGTGATGTTTTAGGAGTTGATGATGTGCTCGAAGGAGAACTTGTTACATTTGCAGCTGAATTTGAAGGCGGAAATACACGGTTTTCTTCAGATTTCGCCAGGGTTACATTGCTACTTTCATTGCCTGGCTCTTTCGGAGTCTAAATTATTCAACACAAGACGATCAGTAGAATACACACAGAATAAAACTTGACAAGATCATTGTTCGTTGAGAACAGTTAAAACACTTTTATCACAGAAGAGGAAATGACGCGTGCAGTCGATCAAAACTTTGAATCATTACCTGACGTGCATTTTGCTTCACGGGGCTCTGTTCCCCATCCGTCTCCTCCGCTAATTTCTGCTTTAGTTTCTTAAACATTTTTTAGTTCATCTCATTCGATCAATACCACCAGACTATCCGCCATCTTGGATTTTACCTTATGCTTCACTGAGCTTGCGCAGAGGGAACATTCTTACATGCGCAGAAAGTACCTTGACACGTCAGCGACTGCGACGAGAAAAATAAAGTAGGGTACGGCGGGGATTTTTTTTTTATGGTGGGTGAAAAAAAGGGGAAAATAATTCCTTAGTTTTTCTTTTTTTTTGACAAACGTAAGGAGCAGAATTATACATTATTTTTTCAAGTCTTTCATGCTTTATTTTCCTGGCTATTTTTTCAAAAGGCTGACAAAAATAACGAAGTAAAAGCTGGAAGTAAGTGAAGTTTTATTGCCAACCTCGGTTCCAATGCTCTCTCTCTCTCTGAACTTCCTTCACTGACATTGCGTGTTCCTAATTGACACATTAAGCCACTTATATGAAAACATAACTGTGACGTCACCAAATTTCAAACTCATCATCTTGACGAATTTCGTTTGTTTTGAAAAATTATCTTTGGTTACTTACAGAGTTCAAAAGACTTTCAAATTTCAACCATGGCGGATCTCACACCCATGTTTTCAAGTTCTCGGATGGCAGAATTGAGACAAGCCTTCGACAAGCACGCAAAGGGAAACTCCTTGAAAGGCGAAGACTTTGGTAAAGTGATGAAAGAGTGTGGAGAAGACGTCCCTGCCTTCAAACTGCGAGATATCGAAGAAGAAGTGCAGAAAGAAAAGCGAGGGATGTTAAGCTTTGACGATTTTACCAAACTATTTGCAAGACTGTCTACGAAAGCGGTTGGAGGTGCATACAAAAAGGCCGTTGACAGCCGCAAAGGAGTGCAAGCTGTCGGAGGGACTTCAGCATCATCTGCCGAAGGGACAAGACATTCGTTTTCTGATGATGAGCAGATCGGCTTTAGCAACTGGATTAACTCAGTTCTGGAAGATGATCGCGATTTGAAAGGTTAGAAATGTGATATACAAATAGAGATTTTCACGATAAAAAGTTTTCGTGGACTAGAGTTGTTGTAGTAAAACTCATAGATGGAGAAATAGATATTGAAATTTTCAACCACTTTCGGTGAGGATGGAAAGATTTCCAGTGAGTTTATTTTAAAAGAAAGTGTCCGTTAACTGTAAGAAGGAACAAACTGCTCTTAGTAACCAGCAAACAGTGAGTTCGACAGAAAGCATTAAATTTATTTACACCGGTATGCACCCTCAATAACAATTTTTCTCTTGACAATTGCGTAGATTGTCCGAAATTCGTGCGTTCAGTTCCCTCAAATAACTAAACCTTATGCAAGCTAATGATAATTATGTTTTGGATTTATTTGACACAGTATATATTCAAAATTTGAGTAAGAGGGAAGGTTCTCAAATTACACATACCCCACTGTTATTGGACTTATTGCATACGAAGCAGTCTTCGTTTTGCATCGGCAATACATTGTGACGGAACGGTGAACTTTTCGAGCCTTAAGTAAAAATTTTGTTTTACATAGGAGAATTCTATGCGAGGGTCTAATAATTTAATTTGGAGAAATGACATGCAGGATTATTTCTCCGATCAAAGTTTGGGGGGCGGAGTGGAACCGTGGGTGATTCTTTCTCAGAAGCAACGCCCTACTTGGGAATTGTAATACGAGGTCTTGCAGGAATGAAATAATATGAATTCACTCCAGCTGACTCTTAGTTTTCTTTTGAAAGTCGAGTCGAGTCAGATCAGCTTGTTGGTTCTCCTTTACCAGTTAACACTATCCAATGGTAGATGAAATCTTAACATTATGTTTCTATCCTCACAGGGAAGTACGTGCCAATTAATGAGGACGATAAAGATGGTCTTTTCAAAGCCGTTAAAGACGGGATTCTGCTGTGTAAACTCATAAACTGGGCCTGTCCTGGTACTGTGGACGAGAGAGCTATCAACAAGACCAAGTTGAACGTCTACAACATTCATGAAAACCAAACGTTGGTGTTGAACTCTGCCATGGCTATCGGCTGTAACATCGTCAATATTGGCGCGCAGGATCTAATTGAAGGCAAACCTCATCTGGTGCTGGGTTTACTGTGGCAAGTTATCAGGGTATGTGAAGCTTTATGGTGAACAGAATTTTCTCACAAAGTGCTCCAAGTGTTTATTCGCTATCTTTTCGCACAACATTAGAATCTAAACTTAGAGAATTTCAGTTTATAATTTTAAACCGTATTATCTTTACAAACGAAAAACTATTTCGTTTTGGCATGGCTGATTCGCCGTCCTGTGCTTTCTGCCAAACGGAGGTTGAATCCGTAGAGCATTTACTCTTTTCCTGTAAAGTATCATCTAGTTTTTGGAAACATGTCTTGTCCTGGTTGTGCGATTATAACATCCCTGTTGATAACCTTGAAGAGGAAGATATCATTTTTGGTAAGTTCGATATTGCAGAAGATTTTCTCCTGTTTAAGCAAATTTTGCTTCTGGGTAAGTTTTATATTTACTCTCGGAAATACCTAAATGGTATACCTTCTCTTCGAGGTTTTATAGCCAGGACAAGGCGTGTTTACAATATCGAACTCCGTATTGCCGGGAAAAGAGACAAATTAACTAATCATTTTAGAAAGTGGGAAAGGTTAATAAGCGTTTTTACGAATAAGTGATCGTGATGTCATGATTAATTTCCATTATTAGTTTAAAAGTGATGTCATTGTAACTTACATACGAGGTAACCGTATTGCTGTAATAGCTTTGTGAGTGTGTGCAACTTGGTAATCTTCTATTTGTACCGTATTAGTGTGTGTGTTTTTCTCTTTTTTTTTTCCTTCCTTAATTTCTGTTTTGTATGTAAACGTAAGAAATGCTTTGATAAAAATAAAATTAAAAAAAAATTTGAAAAACCAAAGTGCTTACTCCAAAACCGTTAACGTCAGGTGTAGGCCTCCAGAGATACAGGGCCCTCTCCATTCGACTAAAATTTTCGATCTGAATTTCCAAATTTTTCGCATGTCGAATGGAACGTGGGTGAAATTCCCTGGGTCAATTTTCTTAGCTTTTGAGCCACTCGATGATCTCCATTTACCAGGTTTACGTTGGAAGACAATGATGAAAGAGCTAGCTTGATTGTCGGCTTTATGCCGTTAAACAGCTGTTTAACGGCGGTAGTGGGCTCAGAGTATGAAACTGTGCAGGGTTGTAAATACACAGTCCAATGCGACTCAGCGCAATCTTGCCGAAGGCAACCCAAATGTGGAAAACCTTTCTTGTTATATGATCTAAGATCTTTTACATAAAGGAAAATACCTTATCGGTCGATTTTCAGCTCATAGCTGAGCGAATGAAACGGGTAACGGGTCTAAATGATTCAACGCTGCCTATCTTAAGAAAGATCTAGAGCCATTAAAAAGCATAAAAGATTCGTCTATGATGCACTGCATAGCTGCTCTTTCCAAAAAAATTGTGCTGTTCATGGGATCATTATAATTCTAATGCTTATTATTGCTTCTCTTAGATCGGTCTGTTCAGGCAACTGACTATCCAGAACTGTCCCGGACTTGTTCGCCTGGTTGAAGAGGACGAGACCATCGAGAAACTTCTCCGTCTTCCCCCGGAAGCCATCTTGCTCCGTTGGTTCAACTACCATCTTCAGGATGCCGGGCACCATCGGCGAGTCGCCAACTTTTCAGCTGATATCTCTGATGCGGAGAATTACAGTGTTCTGCTTCACCAGGTAATCCTTTATAGCTTTAAGTTGAAGCTCGGACTCCTGAGATGCGTAGCATGAGAGCTGTCCTCTGAGAGCATCGTCTGAATTGTGATTTCTTCACTCTCGACGTGGTCTGATCATTCTCTATATATCTGCTTCCGTTAAATCTGAAACAAACCATACAACTACCAATTAATAATTTAGAACCCAGGATAAAAACCATCACAGCTTCTCCAATTTATTTAGGACCAATTTATTTGGATACTTTTATAGCAACATATTTTGGATTCGCTATAAGGAAGAGCCGACGTTCGAAACTTCAGCTTAGTATTTCTCTCGACGATGGCCAATTCCCATCATCGGCTCAGTTGATAAAGCCAAGTTACCTTGCAATAACCCCAAAGACGAGGCGCTACAGTTTCTTAAGAAAGTTACCCCCTTTTATTTTTCTTTATTCTGTTTAGTAAGGTTACCTTTTTCCCCTTCCAGATCGCCCCTCCTGAACTCGGGGTCGGCGAACCACACATTGGCATGTCCGACCCGACGAAACTTGCTGGGCTCGTCCTCGACAATGCCGCCAAGATGAAATGCCGCAAGTTTGTGCGAGCCAAGAATATTGTTAATGGTAACGCGAAGCTGAATCTAGGATTCGTCTGCAACTTGTTCAATAACTATCCTGCACTGAAGCCAGTTGAAGAAGAGCTTCCCAACCTTGAAGAAACACGAGAGGAGAAAACTTTCCGCAACTGGATGAACAGCATGGGAGTGAAGCCGTTTGTGCAACATCTCTACCTAGATTTGGATGATGGTATCGTTCTTCTACAGCTGTTTGATTTGGTAATGCACAAAGAACCAACGTCATTTGTTTATTTTATGCCATTAACCGAAAATTCATTCAGGGCGCTTTTCCGAGGAGTATCTTGAATTTAACATCAAATTTATTACAATTATTATTATTGGAAATTTAAGCTTCGTCATCGAATAAAGAAGTAGGTCAAACCATTCTCACAGGTGTGGGTCAAAATACAACGATACATGATTTGATAGCTAATTAGTTTTCCGTGTTTTCAGGTGAAAAAAGGCGTGGTGGACTGGAGCAAGGTCAACAGACCACCTTATAAAAAGATGAGCGAGAGTATGAAGAAACTCGAGAACTGTAACTACGTGGTCGACGTCGCCAAGAAACTCGAATTTTCCGTGGTAGGAACCGGAGGCAAAGACATCTTGGACATGAACAAGAAGCTGGTCCTGGGTCTCCTGTACCAGACCATGCGCGCCTACACATTGCAGGTCTTGCAAAAATGCACCGGAAGCGACAAGAAGATCAAAGATGAAGAAATTGTCGCATGGGTCAATGAAAAACTGACAAAAAGCGGGAAAGACAGCAGAGTAACTTGTTTTAAAGACCCCACCATCTCAAACGGCAAGTCAGTGATCGATCTAATCGACAGCATCAAGCCAGGTGTTATTCAATACAACATAATGGCAACAGGGGAGACACTGTCAGACGACCAGAAGTTGTTGAATGCCAAGTACGCCGTCTCCATGGGGCGAAAGATTGGCGCCAAATTGTACGCGCTGCCTGAGGACGTAGTGGAGGTCAAGGCCAAGATGGTACTGACCGTGTTCGCTTGTTTGATGGCTGTTGATCATGCGAATACTGCTGGAAAGAAATGAAGTGCCAAATTTAAAACGTCTGGGAAATGTAAAACACAAGAAGAACATTCGTCCATTATTTAAAACAAACTACTTGAGAACTTATAAGTACTTCTTAAAGCACAGTAAGGTTATTTTAAGCGATAAAATATTGTTTCTGGCTATAATAAGCGTTGCAAACGGTTTCGAAACAGTAATTGTGGTTGCACTGTTGGTGCTCTCTTCACCAAGTTTCACTGAAGACATTGATCGTAAAGTGTTTCTTAAGATTAAGTATGTCTGGCTCGTTGTTATCGCTTGATCTGTATGTCAATAAAACTGTTCTGTTCTGGTGAAACTTATATAAAAG